CAGGAGCAGAGACTGGTTTTGATATTAACTTTATTTTTGTGAAACTTCAGAGCCATTTATGATGTTTTCAATTTTTAACTCGTGTTTGTTTTTATAGAGTTTGCTTTAAGTCAGCACAAAAGGTTTTCATGCCAATTCCCCTGCTCATTCAGGTGAATAGTCAGAGGTGTGTTGGAGGAGCTTTTCCTAGTTATAATCCCAGTGGCTCATCACCAAAACAAGGAAAACGAGGGCAGGAAAAGGGAGGGATTATTAATTCCTCTTTAAAGCTTTTCCCCTAAGCCCTAACAAGAGTGTGGCACACTTTCCTTTTTCTTACCCCACTGCTGACTTACTTTAGTCAGTAAGAGGAAAATAAGAAATGAGACCTATTTGGGGTTGGGATTTTTTAACAGTACGTATTTTTGGGATTCCCAGTGAGGTCACTGCTTGGCTCATCCATGTGGCCTGGAGGAAATCCCAATTTTCATTGCTGGAAACTCCTCCTTTCTGATGGCTGCCAAGAACGAGGATGAAGCTGTGCTGTGTGTTGTGCCTGTGTCCCACAGCAGGACATGTGGCTGTGCCATCACGGGTTGGTCCTGGCTGGCTGTGGACAGGTGAGACCCCAGGCAGGGCTGTGAGAGCCACACCCACACCAGGACAGCTCCACACCCTGAGCAGGTGCCATCCCTTTGAAGCTGGTTTTTACAACAGGTCCAGAATCTCCCCGTGGCCCCACAGCTGTGTTGGTGTCCCTGGGCTGGAGAGGGGTTTGGTAATGGCTTTGCTGAGTGAAGGTTTAATCTTTGCAAAATATTTTTGTATCCTGTAGTTAGAAGTGTTCTGATGGACTTTCTGCATCCCTTGTGTGGTTTGAGAGCTGTGTTGCTTTTGTGTTATCCCTGGTGATCCAATCACTTCCCTGAGGGAAGGTTGAAGAGCTGAGGGCCAAGAAATACCAAAATTCATCCCTCCCTCTGAATTCTTTTGGCTCAGTTATTTCCTCTCTGAATTTTAAGGTACAAAATAAGAAATTTATATCCATGTTTTCCACGAAATGAGGATTTGGAGAGGGATAAATCAGCCTGTAGTGTGTCTGAGCATCCAGAGTGCTGTGGAAGTGCTAATCCAGGATCCTGCCATCCCTGGGGTTGAACTCTTCTGCTGTTGTGTGTGGAGCTGTAAAGCAGGTTTAGGATGTTTCCCAGAGCTCCATCATGAGGAAGGTGCATGTTGGCTCTCCCCAAGTGAACACCTGTGTCACAATGTGACCAATGCTCCTCCTGTGAGGGAGGCTGCACTTCCACCAAGGGTCAGCCCCAAGGGCCAAGCTTTTGGGCCCAGAAAAGAGAGGGAAAGGGAGTGAGAGAATTCCCAGAGAATTCCAGAGGTTCCACTGCTGCCCTGACATTTCTAAGTCCGACATTTTTAGGACATTGTGGTTGTCTTTATCAATTTCTAATTTTGTGACAAGCTTGCTTTTCAATGGCTTAGTTTTCAAGACCAAAGAATTATCAATAAATGAATAAAATATTTAAATAATGATGATGTCCTGACTTGAGGGCAGGCAAGGGCAGGTTCTTAAAGGAATCCACAGAGAGAGATCTCCTGGAGCCATCCAAAAAATCTCATTCTCCATAAGTGGATTGGGTAATGGATTCATTTAAGAATATTAATTGTTCCTTCACACCCCATCATTCATCCCTGTCCCACAGTGCTGCTCTGGCCTGGGAGATGGGAATCCCACTGGGCCATGTCTGGATGCTGAGGGAATGTGTTGGTCCAGGGCAGGTCTCTGAGCTTGGAGGAGCTCTGGAAACCACCTTGTCTGAGAAAATAGATGGGAAAACTGCTGGTACTGCTTCAGAGCCTGATTTATTCTGCTCTTGGCTTGTTTATTTTGGTCTGGAACAGGTTTGAAGCATTCTCCAGTGCCTTCATGTGTCCATCTCACTTGGTTCTTCATTTACTTATAAATTACACCCCAAGAGTGGGCAGGGAGGTTCAGGGAAGGAGCTTTTAGCACCAAGAAACAAGCCTCTGGTGCTTAATGTCAGTAAATAAATATCCACTCTGCCAGCCATGAAAACAGATCTGGGAGTGACCAGAGCAGGCTGAAGAGTGGGAATGAGCACTGGGGCTGCCTGTAAATGATACAGGAATGATGGAATCTCGGGGTGCTGAGCCATGGTGGAGGCTGTGCTCAGCAGAACCTGTTACTCAATAGAGTAACTGACACAGTCAGAGGTGTAAAATAACATCATCTGCTCCTCTGACTGCTGGAAAATGGTGTTGGACACGGTTCTGGTGAGCAGGGGAACAGTTGAACCTGAGAGCTGTGGGGTGGGGGCAGCTCAGCCCCACGCTGGGGCTGTGGGGTGGGTTCGTGGTTCCCGGGCTGGGTCAGGCAGATGGAAACATCCCGGCGGGGAGGGTGGAGGCTCTCACCAACCCCCCGGCCCTTTTAGCACCTGCGTTACCAGCCTGACGTTGTTCGCGCTTCTTTCATTCCCCCCGACACCTCCTGCCACAAAGAGCTGGACACGCTTGAGAAACAGAAACGAAAAAAAGCCGAGAAAAAAGAAAGTCAGGGGATCCTTTTTTTCTTTTCCCTTCACTTCCTTCCAGCCACACGAACACTGAGGGTCTCTCCCCCTGCTGCTGCTGGGACCCTCCGAGGGTTGGGTGAGACAAAGGGGGCTCAGGGCTTCCCATCCTGGTTTGTCCCTTAATAAGAATTTATTTGATCCAAAACCCCTCAGCCTTCTCCTGCATGGAGCCAAACCCCTTTAAAGTCTTACAGAAACTTTCAGTTGGTGTTGTGACAGAGAGATCCTTATCTGCTGATAGCTGTAATCGTGATAGAGCACAGAGGAACTCGTTTCTCCTGTCCTCGTGTTGAAACACGCTTCGTAACGCACAAAAAAATCCCATAAAAACTTCCGGCTGCTGCTCTGCATCCTTGGAGCATCCCGGCCGGCTCCTGCTCCGCGGGGAGCGCCCCAGCACCCAAAACCCGACGGTGCCGGGGAGCACTGAGTCACTGCCCCCACCTCCTGGGTGTCCCAATTCCCCAGCCCTGCTCTGAGTCACGCTGCCCCCGGCGTTTTCCCACCCTCCGCGTGGGTCGGGTTCCTAAATCCGGGGGGCAGGGGGTGAGCAGAGCCAGCTCTGTGCTGAGCGACAGCGGGAAGGGACATTGCAAGTGTCCCCAGCTCTGGCACCCACCCCGCGGCTCCCAGCGGGACGCGGGGCCGTGACTGTCACCGGGGCACCAGCACGGGGACAGCAGCTTTGTGTCACGCCTGATGCCCCCCTCGCTGCGCCGGGAGGGAAGTGAAGCCCCCGGGGAGCCGCCGAACCGGCCCCTCCAGCCCCTCCAGCCGGGTTAAATCTGGCGCCGCATTTGCATGGCAGCGAGTCGGCACCTGGCAGCGAAATCCTCGGGGGATCGAGGACACGGGGAGCGGCTGGCAATTGTCACACGCCGGCCACAGGAAAGTCCCAGCAGACGATTGTTTTTAGAAGAATCTACTTCCAACCCGCACGGCTCCGGCCCCGGCAGCAGCGCCTCCACCTCGGCACCCGCCGGGGATGGAGGGGACAGCCCTGGGCTCGAAGTGGTGCTCCAAGGCCACGGAGGATGCTCCAGGTGGGAGGTGATGCTCCTCAGCCTCAAACATCACCCAGGTGCTCCCCACCTCTTGGGGACCCCCTCACCCACAGCAGCTCCCTCTTGCCCCTCTCTCTGCCGTGAGCAAGGCTGGGAGAGCGGGGCTGGGGCTCCCCCCAGTTCCCCCAGTTCCAGCCCCGTTGCTGCTCCCCTGGGCACTGGAGGACACCGTGGGCCTGGGGGTGTATGAGGGAGGTCCTGTCTTCCCTCAGCCCCGTTTCCCACAGCTGTGGCTTTGTACCGTGGGCCCCCCTTGCTGCTCCTTGTTGCTCCCCAGGGCCGGGCAGAGTCACGCCCACCTCCCCCCCCATCCTGCCCCCCAAGCGGAGAAAGTTAGTCAAATCTGCAGAAACCGCAGAGGGGGAGGCAGCGACACTGTCACCGCTTTGATGTCACCCCTGCACGTCCCACAGGTGCTGCCATCAACCCGGGACCACGGTCCCGCCGCCGCTTTGCCATTAACTCGTGCGAGAAGAGGGGGGATAATGCAAAAATATTTCCTTCCCCACCTCCATCTTGTCCCCACGGTCCCGGAGAGGCCACGTGCGAGGCACACGGAGCTGCAGCCGCTTCCATGCAGCCCTCACGTGAGGCTGGGGGTCCCTCCAGGGCTCTGGGGGGAGCCAGGAAGGTTTCTGAGCAGCGGGGCTGATTCATGCCGGGCCTCCTGTGGTTTCCCCCTGCTCTCACCTCCTGGTGCTGTCACGCCAAGCACCCACGCACCAGTGCCCAAGGGTGAACCCACCCCGTTGTCACCCACAGGGAGCTGGAGGGGAGGCCCCCGTGAGCTGCTGGGCACCCCTGCACCCATCCTGCACCCATTCTTTGCCACACATCCCACCCCCACTCTGCACCACTCCCTGCACCCAAAACGCCCCCCTTGTGCCCCTCTGAACACACCACACACCCCTGTGACTCTGCTCTCTGCCCTCCCAACACCTCCTGCACCCCCTGTGCTGCCCCGGGGCCCCAGACAGGGCTGACACAGAGCCCCCACCATGGGACATTCCCCAGCCCACAGTGGAGGAAGGAGGACGCAGCACCAGGGGGTGACAGGGTGAGGTCCCCTAGGTGCCACATGCCCATGGGTCAGAGGCCCAGGTGTCCCTGGGGAGCAGGAGGCAGGCAGGGGGCAGCTGCCAGCCCTTCCCAGCCCCGTCACGGCCGCTGCACTCCTGGAGGAAGCTGCTCTGCGTTGCTCACCCGGCGCTGGTTATAAATACCCTCCCCATTTTAATGTGGGAGCTATTTCAGGCCGGGAACGGGAAGCGAAACCCTGCACAGGTCCTGCCCCTTTACCCCCGTGCCCGGGAAGGGCCGGGCAGTGCCCAGGAGCCACAAGGGTTTATTTGAAGCCCAGGAGCCGCGCGCCAGCCTTGACCTTCTGAGCCTTCCAGCGGAGCAGGCGGATGGCGCGGAGGCCGAAGCGCAGCACGGCGTCGTACTTGAACACCAGCTGGTAGAAGGCGTCGGTGATGAGGGCGCCGCTGGGGTCGGCGTGTTTGAGGGCAGCCATGGGTGTGTACGCCACGTTGGTCTGGTGCCGGAACGGCGGCCGGGCCGCCTCGATCACCCGCAGGGTGTGCTGCACATGGGCATGGGATTGTCCCCTTCCTGTGCCCACAGCCCCAGCCCACCAGGGCACGGGATTGTCCCCTTCCTGTGCCCACAGCCCCAGCCCACCCGGGCATGGGATTGTCCCCTTCCTGTGCCCACAGCCCCAGTCCTCCAGGGCGTGGGATTGTCCCCTTCCTGTGCCCACAGCCCCAGGCCAACAGGGCGTGGGATTGTCCCCTTCCTGTGCCCACAGCCCCAGTCCTCCAGGGCGTGGGACTGTCCCCTTCCTGTGCCCACAGCCCCAGCTCACCCGGGCATGGGACTGTCCCCTTCCTGTGCCCACAGCCCCAGCCCAACACCACTCCCATGCCAGCTCTGTCCCCTTTGAACCCTGTCTGCATCCCACCCACATCTGCACCTCCATCCCATCCACATCTGCACCTCCATCCCATCCACATCTTCGCTTCCATCTTCATTCACATTCCCATGCCCTCCCTTCCCATTCCCCTCCTATCCCCATTCCCACCCCCTCTCCTTCTCATTCGTTTCCTATTCCCATCCCCAAGCCCTTCCCATCCGATCTCTAATCCATCTCACCCCATCACTATTCCTATCCCATCACCAACTCCTTCCTGTTCAACTCCTATCTTTATCCTATCCCACCCCATCCCCATCCCATCCTACCATCCCTTCTCATTCCCATTCCATTTCCACCCATCTCCATCCTCACAGCTCCTTCCCATCTTATTCCCATCCCATCCTACCCCTATCTCCATCCCTTCTCATTCCCACTCCATTTCTGCCCATCTCCATCCACAGCTCCTTCTCATCTCATTCCCATCCACCTTCCCATCCCACCTCCATTCCTATTCCCATTCCCAGCCAGGCTCAGCCCCATCAGGATGGAGCTGTCTGGGTGTCAGCTGCCCCACTGCTGGCTGGGCATTGCTGTTACTTGTCAGGGCTAATTAACACCTCTGTCCAGCCCAGCCCCAGCCCACTGAGACCCCCTGCCTGCCTGTCACCTCTGCAATGTCCTCAGGGGTCTGGCCCAGGCTGGTGAAGACATCCCTGGAGTTCCTCAGGTAGAGCTTGGTGAAGATTTCGGCCGTCTCGGGGTCTGTCCGTGAGTAGTCGGCGCGTTCAGCTTCCTCGTACAGCTTGGTCTCGAATTCCGTCATCACCGGCCCCGGCTCCACCAGGCTGATCCTGCCCAAGGATGTGGCACTGGGCACTGGCACTGGGTGCCCCCAGACCCCTGCCCCAGGGGATGCAGGGCCCCCACACTCACGCCACGTTGAAGCGCAGCGCCTGCACCACCAGGCTCTCGCAGAAACCCTCCACGGCAAACTTGGAGGCCGAGTAGATGTCATTGAAGACGATACCTGGATGGTTGGGGAGCTCCAGTCAGGGTTGGGTGGGGGCTGGTCCCCCCAGGGCTCCCCATTTTCCCCTACCCTGCAGGCCCATGATGCTGCTGATGACGACGATGTGGCCCCCGCGGCGTCTCTTCATGTCGGGCAGCACCTCCTTGACCAGGCGGACGAGGCCGAAGAAGTTGGTGTCCATGAGGCTCTGCATGGCTGCCAGGCTCTGGCACTCCAGGGGTCCCGCCATGCCCACCCCGGCATTGCTGACTGTGGGGCAGGGGGCATCAATGGGGCATGCCCTGGGCAGGGGAATCCCACACCCTGGGCATGGGGGGTCCCTGATTCTCAGAGTGTCCCCAGCATGGGACGTCCTGGGTGTGGAGGGTCCCTGGTGCAGGGTGACCCTGGCATAGAGAGTCACTTGTGTGTGGGGTCCCTGTGCATGAGGGACCCCTGGCACAGCGCTCAGAGGGTCCCCAGAATGGGATGTCCTGAGTTTGGAAGGTCCCTGGCACAGGGAATGTCCCAGCACAGAGGGTCCCTGGTGCAGGGGGTCCCCAGAGCTCAGAGGGTCCCCAGAATGGGATGTCCTGAGTTTGGAGGGTCCCTGGCACAGGGAATGTCCCAGCACAGAGGGTCCCTGGTGCAGGGGGGTCCCTGGCATTGACAGTCCCCGGTGCACGGGGTCAGGGCCATGAGGTGTCCCTGGCACGGAGGGTCCCAGCACTGGCAGCACAAATGGTCCCTGGCACGGGACAAGCTTGGGGTGGGGGGGTCACCGGGGTCAGGCCGGGACGGGAATCCCGGGGCTCACCCAGGATATCGATGTGACGCCCGGGGATGCTGTCGAGGCAGGCACGGATGGAGCTCTCATCGCACACATCCAGCTGTTTGATCTCCAGCGTCCTGCCCAGCGCCGGCCCCGCCGCCGCCGCCAGCGCCGCGCTCCTGCCCGTGTTCCTCATGGTGGCGATGACTGCGGGCACAGGCGGCTCAGCCCCCGCGGGATCTCCCCGGGATGGGGGTTTGGGGGGGTCCCTCCGCCCCGCTCACCTCGGAACCGGCGCTGTTTGTCCCTCGCCAGCCGCACGGCCAGCGCCAGCCCGATGCCCGAGGAGCAGCCGGTGATCAGCACCGTCTTGGGAGCCATGGCACGGCCTCACCCCCCCCGTCCGAGCCCCAGCCCCCCGCATTTATAGCGGCTGCCCCCCCCAAATCCGAGCCCCTTAATCCCCCCTGGATAATCCCCCCTCCCGGGGATTTGCGGCGTGGCTGAGCCGCACGTGGTGCCACGGAGCACAGAGGAGCCTTTGTGTGGCACTGTGGGGACACAGCAGGACATGGGGACACTGCCAGGCGTGGGAGATGGGGACGCTGCCAGCCGTGTGCCACCAGCACTGGGGGGGGCTCTGGGGATGGGAAGGAGCAAGGCAGGAGCTCTGCAAAAATAACCTTTATTATTTATCACTGGTATAAAACACGTCCCTGTTCAACTGGCCTCGTGGAGACGTGGGGGACACGGTGATGGGTGCCCCCCTCACCCCCACAGCTCGGGACCCCGCTCCTGGGGACCCCAAAACCCCCCTGGTGTGGGGGCAAGGAGTGCCAGGCCCCTGCAGGGACCCTCGGGGCTGGTGCTGCAGGGCAGAGGGGAGAAAGTGCTTGAGTGTGGGGGTCCTGGTGTGGGCTGTGCCAGGCTGTGCCATGCTGGCGGTGCCAGGCTGTGCCAAACTCTCCTGGCAGTGCCAGGCTGTGCCAAACCACCCAACTGTGCCAGACTGTTCCATGCTGGTGGTGCTGGGCTGTGCCAAACCATCCCACTGGTGCCAAGCTGTGCCAGCAGTGCCAGGCTGTGCTGAGCTGTGCCATGGCATTGGTGCCCAGCTGTGCCAAACTGTGCTGGCGGTGCTGTGCCAAGCCAGGCCATATCAGCAGGGCCAGGCTGTGCCAGACAATCCCAGCAGTGCCAGGCTGTGCCAAGCTGCTCCTTGCTGGGCTGTGCCGAGCCGTGCTACGTCGGCAGTGAGACTGAACCAGCAGTGCCAGACTGTGCCAAACCACGCTGGCAGTGCCAGGCTGAGCCCAACCCTGCCGTGCTGGTGGTGCCAGGCTGTGCCAAGCCCCCCCAGAGGCTCAGAGGGCCACGCAGGTGCAGTAGTGGCGCAGCTTGCAGGGCAGGATGCCGCGGTTGATCTGGTGGAACTCCACCAGCTGGATGAGGTCGGCGAAGCGCGTCTGCCCGTCGTCCATGGTGAAGTAGAGCCGCCCCTCCTCCTCGCTCTGCCGGGGGGGCTGCAGGTCAGGACCCCTCTGCCCGGCCCCCCCAGGCCCCCCCAGGCCCCCCCAGGCCCCCCAAGCCCCAGGCTGGCACTCACCGGCAGGATGAGGTAGTGCTTGATGCGCTGCAGGTGGCACAGGGACAGCACGAAGCCCTTGGGGTTCCGCTGGCTCTCCCGCACCAGGAACACCCTGTGAGACCCAGAGGTGTCACTGCTGGGCTGGGGCCAGGTCCTCTCTGCCCTCCCAGTGTCCCCTCTGCCCTCCCAGTGTCCCCTCCGCCCTCCCAGTGTCACCCATTGTTGCCACGTTTCCCAGAGAAAAGCAAGGCACAATTCTTCCCAAGGGTTTCTGAGATTTACATTCTCTGAACCTCAGAGAAAGGGAAAACACAGTTTTTATCACTTGCTGTGCCTGTGTTTGTGCCAAAGTAGGATGCAATGTGGAGATAATTCATTCAAAGTGAGGAAGTTTTGTTTCCTTGGCCTAACAGGGTCAGGTGTGTAGCCCCACATTTCCCTTGACAGAGAAAAGCAAGGCACAATTCTTCCCAAGAATATTCTTATCTCACTTGCTGTGCCTGTGTTTGTGCCAGAGTAGAATGCAATGTGGAGATTGTTTACCCACAGTGATGGTGATTTGTTTCCCCTGTCAGGGCCAGGTGTGTGTGTGTGTGTGTGTGTGTGTCAGGACTGTCACTGACAGCCACGAGATTCTGTGCAGGGTGTGCAGAGTGAGTGCTTGGCAGGTTCAGTTTAGATGAAATGTATATAATACAGTATAATAAACTAATTAATTAGCCTTCTGATATCCACGGAGTCAAATGAATCATTCTCTCCCCTTCATTGGAGTCACCTTTGATTTACAACAACCCATGGGGTCCCACAAACCCCCTGGGAAATCCTGGGAATAGCCCAGCACCCCCTGGCACCCCTGGGAGTCTCTGTGTCCCCCAAACCCTGCAACAACTTGGGACCACTCCCCCCCAACCCCACACATGCCCTGTATCCCCCCAGGAGCTGCAAGACCCTGTAACCCCTGGGCTCCTGAACCTCCCTGGAGTTCCACATCCCCCCAGAAACCCCAGGGACCCCAAAACCCCCCCAAACCCGAGGGGGTTCCGTACCCGTCCACCAAGCCCTGGCGGCCGATGAGCTGCTGGGTGTCCTCCCGGGAGATCCTCCCGTGGAACCAGGGCTGGGTGCGGTGGATGGCTGTGGGGACAGGGCTGTCACACTTGGGGGGACCCCCTGGGCGGGGCAGGGAGCCCCCAAAGCGGGCAGTGGGCCCGGGTCTCACCGGCACTGAGCGGGGAGCTGTGGCAGGCGGCAGGCAGGCTGTAGCGGTGCGTCGTCTTCTTCTGGGCACACAAGGACACCAGGGGACGTTGGGGTGGGCTCAGGGGGGCTCCCCCTGGCTCCCCAGCACCTCCACTCACCCTCCAGGCCTGGGCCTCCTCCAGGGCCGCGCTCAGCACCTCATTGGGGTTCTCAATCACCCGGCCCGTGCACCCCGAGAAGTCCATGGCCACCAGGGCATTGTCTGAGACGCTGCGCTGTGGGGGACAGGGGGGTCACCAGAGGGTCCCCAGGGGCTGTGGGGGACAGGGGGGTCACCAGAGGGTCCCCAGGGGCTGTGGGGGACAGGGAACACTCACCAGGGGTGTGGGGGACAGGGGACACTCACCAGGGGGACAGGGGACATTCACCAGGGGCATGGGGGACACTCACCAGGGGCTGCAGGGGACAGGGGACACTCACCAGGGGGACAGGGGACACAGGGGACAGGGGACACTCACCAGGGGGACAGGGGACATTCACCAGGGGCTGTGGGGGACAGGGGACACTCACCAGGGGGACAGGGGACATTCACCAGGGGCTGTGGGGGACAGGGGACACTCACCAGGGGCGTGGGGCCGATCCAGGCGGGTTGGCTCAGTCGTGCCTGGGCTTGCTGGTAGTTTCTGTAGAGCTGCATCCCGTACTGGGGGGACAGCTCTGTCAGCTGGGGGGGCCCTGCTGTGGGGTGGGGGAGCACCCAGGGACACCCAGGGACCTCCACAGCCCTCCAGGGACACCCAGGGACACCCAGTGCAGGGGTGGGGAGCTCAGCACCCCCTCCACGTGGGCACAGGGACACCCACCCTGAAACATTTGCTCTGGGATGGGGTCATCCCTCCAGCATCCTTCTAGAACCCTCCACATTCCCCCCCTTGTAGCTCTCCAGTATCCCCCAAGCATTGCCCCATCATCCCTCCAGCACTGCCAGATTAATCCCTTTTCTGACCCAGAGTAACTGAGAGATGTTTTAAAACTTTTATTCTATTTTCAGTCTCATGTGAAGGGTGAGGAAACACAGATGTTATAATCCACGCCGTCACAATCAGAAGCCAATTATTTCCTGATTAAAATACACTGTAAGTGTTTTTTTGGATGTCCTGAGTTTTGTCACACCATGCTGTAAATACCTTAAAGCCAATCATCCAAAATTACCCCTCATGGGTCCTACTACAATGAATCTTTCATAGTTCTATTTCTCTGAAGTATCTGGAGATTTGCAAGGCCACCTTCTGAAATTTTTTTTCTGTCTGACCTATTCCATGGCATTCTAAGTTTTGAAATTTTGAAATTTTTTTCTGTCTGTCCTATTCCATGGCATTCTAAGTTTTGAAATTTTGGATTTTTTTTCCTAGGTCTTTTCCCGTCCTATTCCATGGCATTCTGTGTTTTGAGATTTTGAATTTTTTTTTCCTAGTTCTTTTTCCACCTGACCTATTCCATGGCATTCTAAGTTTTGAAATTTCAGATTTTTTTCCTAGGTCTTTTTCTCTCTGTCCTATTCCATGGCATTCTAAGTTTCAAAATGTTGACATTTTTTTCCTAGTTCTTTTTCCACCTGACCTATTCCGTGGCATTCGAAGTAAGTTTTGAAATTTTGAAATTTTTTTTTCTGTCTGTCCTATTCCATGACATTCTGTGTTTTGAAATTTTGACATTTTTTTCCTGGTTCTTTTTCTGCCTGTCCTATTCCAAGTCAGCATTTCTTATCTCCATGTTTGCACACAGATGCACACCGCGTGATCCTTCTGCCACATCCCCACCCTGGTATTCCTCCAGAATGCCCCCAAAATCGCTCCAGCATCCCTCCAAAATCGCTCCAGCATCCCTCCAAAATCGCTCCAGCATCCCTCTGGCACCGTCCCAGCCGGCAGGGGGCCGGGGCTCACCTTGAAGAGGCGGAACGCGGCCATCCAGCAGCTGCGGCTCTGCTCATCCTCGCTGCAGAGCAGCTTCAGACCCTTCGCTCCGCTCCGAACCTTGTGGGGCTGCGGGAGAGGCCGGAGCCGTCACGGGGCAGCCCCGGCTGGCGCCGAGGGCACAGGGGGAGGGACATCTACAGGCAGGGACATCCCCACCTGTGACAGTGTTCACAGGGGTCCGAGGAGGAGGGAAGAGATGAGGATCTGACTCCGTGTTTCAGAAGGCTTTGATATATATGATATTAAATGTGATATATATGGTATTAAAACTATATGATAGTTTTAAGATATATATATATTATGATATATGTTATATTGAACTATATATATTATATATTCTATATATTCTATATATTATAATATAATATTATAATATCTATTATTATATATTATATATTATATATTATATATTATATATTATATATTATATATTATATATCATGTGTTGTATATCATATAATATATAATATATAATATATAATATATAATATATAATATATAATATATAATATACAATATATATATTATATTAAACTATAGATATTATATATATAATGTTAAAATTATACTAAAGGAATAGTTTTAATGATAGATATTATGATATATATAATATT